GAAAGATGAATATAATATATAATACCTTTCTAAGAAACTTATTAACATGTACACTGAGTTTATTTTAATGGCTGTTTAGTCTTCCAGTAAATGAATAAACCACTCTTTAGCCATTTCTTTACTGGGGACACATTTCCGTTTCTTAGCTGTTACATATAGCATTGCAGTTGAGTATTCCCTAAAGCATACTTTCAGCTCTGCTAGGTGCATTCGGCCCTTGGCCCTCTGTATCCATGGGTTTCACATCGCAGATTCAACCAGTCACAGATTATATATATATGTGTGTGTGTATTTTTTTTTTAATCCTCACCAAGGATATTTCTCCATTTATCTTTAAATAGAGTGGGAGGGAAGGAGGGAGAGAGGAAGGGAGAGATAAACATCGACATGAGAGACACACATCAATTAGCTGCCTTCCACACAACCCCGACCAGGGCCGGGCACCAAACTGCAACCGAAGTATGTGCCCTTGACCAGAATCGAACCCGTAAGTCTTTGGTCCTCGGGCTGGCACTCTAACTGCTAAGCCAAACTGGCCAGAGCCAAAAATATTTTTTTTAGAAATCCTAGAATGTTCTGAAAATGAAAACTTGAATTTGCCACGTCGAGCACTACACTGAATCCAAAAGAATGAAATGACGTGTAGGCATACCCCTCTATGGCCTGTATGCAAATATAGGTTATGTGCAAATCGTACACCATCTTTTATGAGGGACTTGAGCATTCTCAGATCTGGGTATCCGCAGGGGTCCTGGACCCAATCCCCCTTCAGGTACAAAGGGACAACTGTGTTGTCAGACTGCTCTCCAGAGTGGTGGTACCACTCCACCTCTCTCAGGACTGTGTTAGTTCTTGGTTCTCCTCATCCTCACCAAAACTTGGTACCAGATTTTTCCACTTTTGCCTGTTGTTATATTTAACATTCTTCATTTTATATTGCATTTCCCTAAAAAACAGGTGAGGATAAACATCTTTTCATGTATTCGTTGGCCATTTGAGTTTCCTCTATTGGAATTGTCATTTCATCTGCTTTTTAAATTTGGCTGATTGTCTTTTTCTTATAATAGAGTTTCTTTATATGTTCTGAACACTACCTTTGTTGACTACAGGAATTCTAAGTACCTTCTCCCAGCCTCTAACTTGTCTTTTCACTTCATTCGTGGTAATTTTTGGCATACCGTAGCTTTTAAATTATAAAGTAAATAAATGTATATTTTCTTTTATAGTTTGTGTCCTATGTGTTTTATTTAAAAATCTTCCTTCATTCCATTGCCAAAACAAAGGTTTCTGTATTTAGTGCAGAAACATTTACAGTTTTGTAAATTGTATTTGTGTCCCTGATTCATTGGGAGTTTATATGTATGGTGTCAGGAAGGGGGTCCTTGTTTTGTCTTTATTCTTATTTATAGCTCATGTATCCTTTTCCCTCTAATTTACCCATTTCTGTTGTATACCAAATGCCCTTGTACTCAAGAGTCTGCTTCTGGGTTCCTGCTCTTTAGCTCTGTTTGAGTAGCTCTACACAAAGCCCACACTATTTTAAGTACTCAAGCTTTGTGGCATGTCTTGAAATCTGATAGGCCTTATTATGCGTCTTTAAAATTACCTTGGCTAGCCCTGGCCAGTTTGGCTCAGCAGGTAGAGCATCAGTCTGCAGATAAGGGAGTCCTGGGTTTGATTTCCTGCTAAGGGCACGTACCTCGGTTGCACTTTGTCCCCAGCCCTGGTTGGGGTCGTGTGGATAGCGACCACTCAATGTGTCTCTCTCACATTGACGTTTCTCTCTTTTTCTTCCTCCCTCTCACCCTCCCACTCTATATGAAGATAAATGCAAAAATGTCCTCAGGTGAGCATTAAAAACAGTTGACTAAAATTTCCTTGGCTATTCTGGCTCCTTTATTCTTTATTTTTAAATCTTTTTATTGTAGTATGTAAGACATACCAAAATGTGCATAAACTGCAAATGTAATGAAGCCAAACAAATCACTATAAAGTGAACACACCGTATAACCCCTCACAGGTCACAGCATTGCAACTCCAAAAGCCCCTCCCAAGACTGCTCTCCTGGAACATACGCTTTGCTTCATACTTTGCTTCATTGTTTCCCCATTTGATATATAGTTCAGATTGAGCCATTTACAAAAGTGAAATCATAATGTGATCTTTATGTGTGTCTTCTTTCTCCCAGCATTCTATTTTTAAAATTTAAACCTTAAATATTCCAGGTGAATTTTAGGGTTGGCATTTAAGTTCCAATAACAATAAACCCTATTAATATTTTATTTTTAATTATATTAAATTTACATATTTATTTGGTGAAAATTGGTATCTTAACAGTTTTGCACCTTCCCATTCATGGATGTGATACATATATTTATTACTAGGATTGGGTGTGTTTTTTTATTTCTCATACAGTTTTTAATTTTCTTTATGAAGGCCTTACATATTTTTTATTAAATTTATTCCTAAGTATTTTATAGTTGTTGCTGTTATCTACTGATAGCTAATTGTTATACCTTTTTAGATGGTCTAAATTTTATCTTTGGTAACTTAAGGATTTCTCTCTTTGTTTCACTACACTGGATCTAGATATAAATTTTATTTTATTATCCTTCTTTGGACACTTGCATTTTCAATCTGAGGATTTATATTCTGCATTAATTCTTGAAAACTCTCATCTATTATCCCTTGAAATATATTCACTCTCTCTCTGTATTTCCTGTTGTCTTCTGAAAGTTCTGAGACATACACCAAGGGCCTCTCTGCACAGAATCCACCTGCACAGAGCCCTGGACCTCCCCTCTGGGCCTGCTTTACCCTCCTTGATCCATGCCCTTCAGAGGTTTCATCTTCTTGCTGTAGGGGAAACAATGGGTAGATATGGGCTATGCTGAGTGTGGAGAGGAATTGAGGTTGCTTCTTACAGAGTTAAGAATCCTCCACTTCACTCCTGCCTTCCACAGTACCTGGTGCCTCTAATCCCTGAGTCTGTCACAGCTCCAGGGGGCCCATTTGCTGGCATTTGGATTTATCCTTCTTTCCATGTGCTAAGTGGTTTCTATTTTGTTGGTGTGGTTCAGGATTACAGATGCTTTTTAGTTTCATCAGAGGTGGAGTTTGTTTCTGTTTTCGATTTGTTGTTTTGTATCATTTTTAGTAACATGGGAATGATTTGAAACCAAAATCCTCTACCATTCACTTTTTAGCCTGTTTTTTACACCCACCACTGCACCGAAACTGTTCTTACAAGGTCATCAAAGATTCCTTTTTTCCAAATGCAATGGCCATGTTCCTCTGTCTCACTGGGACTCTGCGTTGCATTGGACATAGATGACTATTATTCCCATCTTAAAACACTGTTCTCTTAGCTTCACCGATACCAAACTGTTCTAGTTTTCCTTCTGTTCACTGACAGACCCTCTCATTGTTTTTTACTGGCTTCTCCTACTCTGTCCATTCCCAAAATATTAGTATACCCTGGGTTCAGTGCAAAGTCCTCTTCTCTCTACTTTTTTTAAATCCTCACCTGGGGATGTTTTTATTGATTTTAGAGAGAGGGAAAGGAAGAGAGAGAAACATGCATCGGTTGCCTCCCATACACACCCTGACCAGGTATCAAACCCACAACCTACGTATGTACCCTGACCAGAAATCAAACCTGCAGCCTTTCGGTGTACGGACGACACTCCAACCAACTGAGCCACCCCACCAGAGCCTCTTCTCCCCACCCTCATATTATCCAGTCCCATTGTTTTTAATGCCATCTAGTACCAGTGACTCCCAAATCTTTATCTCTGCTAACTTTTGAAGATTTGTATATTCAACTACTCACTTAATATCTCCACTAAGATTTCTAATAGGTACCTCAAAATTTATTCCTGCATTGCATTTACTGTTTTCTCTGTCTGAAATGGTCTTCCAGTCCTTCAAATCACTGGTACCTCATTATCCTTAAGATCTTCACTCAAGCATCACTTCCTCTGAAGCTTCCCTGAATACCCTACCTAAAGAAAGTCCCTGCTCCAAGGCACTTTATTTCATTCGTAGGGCTTGTCTGGAGTTATTTTGCGTGCTTGCTTGTTTACTATCTGTTCTCCATATTGACCACTATTACCTCTATAAGAGTTAGCCCTTGTTAATCTTACCTTTTACTGTATTCTAAGTATCTAGAACAGTGGCAGGTATATTGCAAATGCTCAATAAATTCTTGCCTAGTTAAATAATTTTATTAATAAAACATTAAAGTGTACTTTGTTCCTGTTAGAAAGTTGTTAAATATGTTCTAATTGGTATGTATAACTTCTTATTGAAGGATGAAATTCACAAAATTAAAGATTTTTTTATAAAGGACTAGCCATACTCATTTTTACCTAGTAACCATAGACCATCTTTATACTTCTCTTGCCACATAAATTACCTTAAACATGAAACATAGGCTTATTTTTAAACAGAATTGTTCACTGCTAACTATTGGCAGGGGTTTTAAAAATCTAGGAAAATAAATAGAAAAATTTACTAAAACGTTATGTAAATTTTACATTGCCTTTATTTTCTGATAAATGTATTATATGGCTGGGTCACATCATTGAACATCATAGTTGTTTTCTACCAATCTCTCTCTCTGATGGCCATATGCCAATGAGAATAACCACAGAGTTAGTGTGAAAGTATTTTGATAATCAGATCTTTTGTGGCTTTTTAAAAAATGAAAACATTGTTTTAAAAACATTTTACTAGTACTTTGAGTGTTAAATGGTTAGGATTTTGCTATCTCTCCTAACTTATTAAAAGCAAACTTGTTTACTGAGTAAATTAAGTTTTTTGTTGATTTGTACAGCTTAGTATTCTACAACTTGGTAGGAGTTTTGGTTATCACCTACCATTGCTAAAATGAAGAAAAATATCATCTGAAATACTCTGTGGTTATTGATTGCTATGTTAAATGTGTTCTTTAAATTTTTATTACATTTAAACAATCCAGTTGGACTTTTTTCTTTTAGATTTCCGGTATCTGTTACAACAGCAAAATACTACAAGTTCATCAGGTGCTGTACATCCCTAGCTGGATGGCAGAATTCTTTTCTCGGACACTTGAACCCATCTTCTCATCTTCAGAACCCACCACCGAAGCCAGAGTCGGTATGGGGGCCACAGTAGACATCCAGAGGCAACAAAGAATGGAGCTGCTTGATCGGCAGCTGATGCTCTCGCAGTTCGCACAAGTGAGGCGGCAAAGACAGCAGCAGGTAAACATAATAGTAATCATTAGAAATTCAAAAATACTCAGTGCCCTAAGTATGTGACTGTATGTGTGGTAGACTACATTTTATTCCTGTGCATTGCAGTGTGGATATTTGACAAGTTTCCCAATAGAATGTAGGTCTCTGTTAGTGCCTATTCTTAGGCTTTTATTTTTCTTCAAGGTAGAAAAATTAATTGCAGCCGAGACTGGTCAAACTGGACATTCTTGTTCCACTTCTATTAGATAAGCATTATTTCTTAGAGAAACACCAACCTAGTTAACAAGATGTGATATTTATCTGTTTTTATAATCTTGTAAAAGCCACAGTGTCTTCCTGTTAAAATGCTTATTATCATGTGCTCTGGAGTGAAGAACAAATGTAAAACTTCTTGATTTTCTTTGGTTGAAATGAAGAGACTATGAAGGAAAGAAATTTTTCAAGGTAACAACCCATGAGTAAGTGAAATAAATGCTGCGTTTTCTCAGCTTTGTCATCAATAATCAGGACATATTGAGCATTTGTCTACAATAAATAGCTGTGTCCAAACTGCTGATACCACACTTCTCTTTCAAGGATTACTATACATATGTCAGTAAGATCATACCTGATCTTTCTTGGACACTTCTGTGGTTTAGTATACTGGGCTCTTTAGTCCTTGTCTCCACCTCTGGGGTATGAGAGGGGATACTCTTCTCACTTACCATCTCCCTGTCTCCTGCCTTCACTGAGTGTGAGACAGGTCCTCAGACCGCACAGTAGTCTGAAGAAGTAAAATCAGTTGTGACATTCCTGGTGTCCCATTGGAGATGTGGGTCTCAGACTTCATATCTGGGGTGGGAAGAAGGGCTCCTTATCCATGAGCTGAGTCTACAGGTGAAAGGGAGAAGTGAAGGTTATTCCCTACAGGTGTTTTTGAATCGAGGTGCATGTGGAACATACAGTGAAGATAGCCATGATGTAGATAAACATGGAGGACAGCCAGCTCTCTTAGGGCAGAGCTGGAGGTGCAGATCATGGAGTTGGCTTTGTGGGGTTAAGAGATGAAAGCAAGGTGCTAGATGAGTTCTGTAAGAGAATTAACATCCAAGATGTACATAGGCAATAGACTAAGTCTTATATTTAGCAGGAGGAGAGGTAGATTCTTCAAGGAAACAGAGGGAAGAATGAAAAGTATGAGAACTTGGAATGATCAGTGTCTGGAAAACTGAGTAATGGCGAACAGAAATATTTTCCAGTCAGAATGAACCTAGAGCTCTGAAGGAAAGATAGAAGTAGTATATGATTCTGAGGTTTCTTGCTTAGATGACGGGATGGATGGGTGACAGTACCATTTCACCAACATAAGAAGAGCAAATTTGGAGGAACCATATGACTAAGCTGCCTTTGGGATACCTGGGAGGAGCTTCCCCATTAGGTAGCTGTGGCTCTTGTGCTCATGAGTTTTCTCGGATTGGAGTCCCCAGGCAGATTTTTTTTTTATCCTCACCCGAGGACATTTTTGCATTTATCTTTAGATAGAGCGGGAGGGAGGGAGTAAGGAAGAAAGAGAGAAACATCGATTTGAGACACATCAACTGGTTGCCAAACACACGACACCAACTGGGGCCGGGGACGAACTGCATCCGAGGTACGTGCCCTTAGTGGGAACCAAACCCAGGACTCTCTAGTCCACAGGCCAACGCTCTAACCACTGAACCAAACTGGCCAGGGCCCCAGGCAGATTTTTTACATACAAAGTTTATCAAGAACACTGTCAGGATCAGCATCTTTGGGGGAGTGGAGGTGAAGGACAGAGATGAACTTTGAACAACAGTTACAAAAAAGGCCTGAGCTAGTTTTATGGATAACTTCGGAATTGGGAGAGCCTTTACAGGTTGTCCCAAATTCAGATAAGGAATTGAAACTAAACCTCTACCAACCAGTCATTGGGTGCAGATTGCAGATCTTGGGCTGACTGGCTCTCCTCAGGTGCACACCATCCATAGGAGGCATATCCCTTGAGAACTGTCATGTGCTAGCACCCCCAGCAGCAGGAAGATTGAGCACTTCAGTTTGGAGGTAGTTGGGGATCTGGGCGGGAGACCATAGCATCCACCCCTTGTGCTGCTCGGTTTACCTAAGTTCTTGGAGCAGCTCCTTCAGATTCCAGCGACACTCTTTTTCTGGGAGAAACCTTCAAGAGGAAGGTTAGTAGGATAAACTACATCCCCTTCTGCCGAAGCAAGTCTCATGATCACACAGGTCATCATCTCCCTCATCTACTGTTCATTTGAGAGTCCCCTCACTCTTTGCTGGAAGGTTTAGTTGGTAAACCTGTGTGGTCTGAGTTCCTGGTCACCAGGCCCTTCTTAGGCTATCTGCTGCATTTGTCCATTTACTGTAAAAACTGAGCAAGGGCCCTGGTCAGTTTGGCTCAGTGGTTACAGTGTCAGCCTGTGGACCAGTGAGTCGCAGGTTCGATTCTGGTCAAGGGCACATGCCTCGGTTGTGGTTCATCCTCGGCCCTGGTCAGGGTCATGCAGGAGGCAGCCAGTCGATGTGTCCTCATGTTGATGTTTCTCTCTCTGCTCTCTCTCTCCCCCACCCCCCACCCCCATCTGAAGATAAATAGGGGGAAAAAATGTCCTTGGGTGAGGATTTAAAAACAAAAAAAACTGAGCAAGGGAGTGCCAAGAGATGCCCTAGTGGATCACCAGGGTGCCACAAAGTCTTCCCTCCCTCTTTTTGTACCCCAAGCCATACCTTTTCCTGATGAAAAGAGTTAATTACTCCTGTCAGGATAATGACGTCTTTCCTTGCCTGCTGGCTTTTGGCACAAGAGCCCAAAATAACTAGTTAACAGCTATACCTAAAATGTAATGGCATTCTTGCTTTTTCTCCTGCTGGCATGGTTCTCCTCCTGTGAGCCAAGCTCTGTAAACCCATGGGATTCAGAGTTGCAGGGATAAAAAGCCTAGTTCCCCAAACAAATCACTGGGAGGGAGGGTAATCAGAGCTGCTGCTTCTCCCCCCCGCCCTTATTTCCAAGATCCGTGGGTTCTTCCTGTTGGGGACACAGCTGGATTTTTAGGGTTCATACTGCACTCTAGAATCTGGAGTACCATCTTGCAGGGTGTCATTTCCAAGTTAGTATTTCACTGACACCTAAAACTGGCTGTCTCATTGGTCTGGCAAGCTGGCAGTTTCTTAGTCGTATGGTTTGTGAGAGGGTGGATGTATTCCACAGTCTTGCCACTGCCACGCCCACTCTGCCGTAGGTGGGCCTTGTGGTCTGATGTGATATGATTTAGCACCCTGGTCAGTAGAGCGAGCATTCTGTAAATCCACAGAGAGTGGCGCTGGTTCTCTTTGAAAGATGGTGCTGTGTTAGGGCTCCGCGTTGGTCCCTGTTGCTGTCAGTAGCTGGGTTCGCCTTAGAGAGTGGGGCCCATGTAGAGCCTCCATCCCTGCCACCATGGCTTCTCTGTTCATGTGCCAGCACTGGGGTGTCTGGTGGCTGTCAGTCCAGCTGAGTCATTCTGTCTCCCTCTTCTGTGGTGGATGTCCATAGCAGACATTAACCCACCAAGCAGATGTCACATTGCATGCCTATTCCTGTAGCTATATCCACATGCCTCTTTCTCAGGTCTCTTTGTCCTCTACCTTCCAGTCCCCTGAACAACCAGCCAAGTCATTTACCATTTCCAGTGAATCCATATATGTAACTAACTCAGGCTCCTTCTCTTTCTGCACAAGTGGATGACCAGTTGCTCTGCCCATTGGGAGGACTTCCCCTCATCACAGTCTTTCAAGATCACCCTTGAGTGGAGCTGTGGTGCAGCCACTGTCCAGTTCCAGCTTTCACTCATCTACTGAGCCAACCCATCCACAAACCAAATTTGGCCATTTTCCTCTGTCACTTGGTCCCACCCCCATGTGGCAGGAGGTGTGAACTGAGGAAGAGGTTTTGGTGCAACAGAGGTGATTAACATGTGGTCTGGCATACCTGCCTCTGCAGCTCACCTGTGCCCTCCAGCCCTACTCATCCCACATACACCACTTCCATCTGAGGATGGATTTGTGTGGGTCCACCTGACCTTAGAACTTGGTAGATCTCACACTTTTGATCCTGTGCTTACTTTATGCCCATGGTCAGGCACACACTATACCTAGGGTCCAACAACAGTTTTTCAGAAGTGTACAGTTCTCTGTTGTAAGTGTACATTCTTGCTTTAGGACCTTAGGGATCTAGATCATGGTTTTCCCCTTGCTGCAAATTCCAGAATCTTTCCCCAGCACAGATCCTTTGTATACCACAGGATCTGCCAGGTCGTCCCACCTAGGAATCAATGAAATAGACCAAATAAATCAGACCAAAATCCCTGGAGAGTACGTGCAAGCTAGGCAACTACGAAGTGGTGTATTTTGGTCTGTGGCTCTACCCTCTGCTTAGCAGGCTCCTCCACTTTCTGAGGTTGGTCTTGCCCCCAGTAGGTTTGGGGTTCAGAATCCTAGTTCCTGTTGACTGGTCTGCTGAGAGTGAAGAGTACACTTATTTCTTTTTTTTTTTGTCCTCACCTGAGGACATTTTTTTTTCTCGATATTTTGTTCAGATTGAGTGGGAGGGAGAGAGAAGGAGAGAAACATCCACGTGAAAGGGACACATCGAGTGGTTGCCACCCACACGACCCAACCAGGGTCGGGGACAAACTGCAACCGAGGTACGTGCCCTTAGCAAGAACTGAACCCAGGTCTCTCTGGACCATAGGCCGACACTCCAACTGTTGAGCCAAACCGGCCAGGGCGAGCACACTATTTTTTCAGTCCTAGGCTTACTCAGTCCCCCCTCATTTATTCCTAACATTGGCCTTGAGGGATAATAGCTAGTTTTTTGTGTCCCCTGAGGCTTGAGGTGCTGGCTTGCCCAGGGACACACACCTGACAATGGGAGTGCAGGATTAGGACTCAGATGTGTCCCCCTATTCGGCCTCTGCCCCTGATGCTTCATCAAACTGCCTCCCAGT